GAGGAGAAACTTCTGTTATAGGTCCTAGATGCTGTCCGACAACATTTTTAGGTTTTTGGTTGGTGGGAGCTCACTGTGTGGTTTGCTAAGTTAACATATTTTTCTAACATTGGACCCTTTTAGTTGTAAGGATGTTAGGTCAAACACAAAGTTGGAAATCAAATGGCTAATAGGAGGGCTAAAAATAGCTTATAATTAATTTTGATTAGGCTTTGGACCTGCAATATTGCAATTTCTTTATCACCACTGAATGTATAGTCAGTTAATTAGGCTTACAGTAGTTTTAGATGAAGATGTAACTCCTTTCAAGAATCTTCCATTAATAGGCACATGGACAACCAGAGCAGTAGACACAATTTCTTATGAAAGGAACATTACTCCTGAGAATAGAAGTGAAGAAGAGAACAGAAAATGTCTAAGGAACCAAAATCTCAAAGTTTCGGGACCCTTTACAATTTGCTTCTACAGCTGTAGCTTTGTCCCACATTTCGAAATTTACTGATTTGGTTGTCGAGGTTTTGTTACATATGTTCTCCCTCCATGGGTGACATACTTTTCTCTGTCCTTTTTGTCCTACCTTAGACTTGATGCCGCTCTCCCCTTTACTTACTCTCCTACGAACATGTTATTTGGTAAAAGCAACTTGAGTTGAGTAAGAATCATGTTTAGTAAATTTGTAGCCTGAGAAAAGCAAAGAAACTTTGATATGTCATTATGCTTAGTTCATAATATTATTGAGTCACAGGGTGCTAACTTGGAATTCAAGTCCTGATCAAAAGGTTATAAACATCTTAGACCTCCTAAATATGACAGGTGAGTGTATGAAATATCAGAAAATCAGGGTCTTATCTCTCACTTTTATAGAAAAGGCCAAAATCACATATATTCCTGAATTATAATTACTAGATTCTTCTGAGATATTGGAAGTGAATAGGTCTCAACATTATATTTCTTAACATTTAGAACTGATAATATAACAAACCAAAGTATTGGTTATGATGACATCATTTGGGTACCCAAAGAAGACCATGAACAACCTAACCAATGAGATAAAGCTACTAATTCTGAAGTAATATGATCAGGTCTTTCCGCAAAGGAGGTTTGCACCCAATCTGAATGAGGAGTTTCACCCTTGAGCACATTTGGAACATTGGCATTCCAGATACCAGTGTCTCATGCCACGTGAGTTGGAAATTGTGAAGTCCTGTCTGTTTTAGATTCAAGATCTCTGCATCATTTCCCTGGACATTGAGCACGCCATCTCCCAATTCATGTTCAAGTTAAAAGGCAAAAGCATGAAATGAAGCGGTTCTGGCAAACTGCCAACGCCCTGCAGCAGCTGCCTGTCCAGGTGGGATTTTATGGGGCTTAGGCAGCGGAAATGTCACTCAAGTGCCTGACACCATTGTGTCCTCCTAGCCGGAGGTGGGATCATTGATGGCTCAGTGGACATGATAGCTGCAATTAATGTGCTGGGCAGAAATGGCCCTTCCGTAGGATTCATTAGTCACTTCTGAAAGACCAAACCTAAATACCAGCAAACAAATGGCTTCCCTTGGAGAGACAAGTCGAACAGGACTATTCCTTATTCAAGCTGATCATTCTAAGAACAGTGAGGTCCTATTTATTATGTGGGCTGGGAAATATTGAAATGCATAGAGTGTAAAATGTGGTAACTATTCTTTTGATAATAACTGCTGTATATATTAATTAATATACATATACCCTATTAACATTGATATGTAATAAGTCACACAATACATTGCATAACAAAATTAGCATGTATATTTTTCACTTTGGGATTTTTCTGTATATAAAAGAATCTTTTTCTCTTGGTGACTAATATATGATACGCAATCATGGTTTACACAGCAAATATTTTATTTTAAGTTGAGTAAGGGTGTAATTGTATTTAAGTTTCATCAAAGTAACAGACCAAAAATAATCCTTCATTAGTCAATTGGTTTTAATGTGGACAATTGCTTATAAAGTACTGTAGACCAGATTTTATGAATGGCCTTACTCCTTTATAATATTGAAATGGGTATTATCTATTTCCCTAAGAATTTTTTTAAAGTATAGATCTACTCAAAGTAAAGACAGCTGCATTCAAATGTGATAGATTTTCTTCATTTTTCCTATCCTTTACCTTTAAAAAGTTAAAGGTGCTTTTAGATAGTCAAAATGCCTCCTGAGGCAGAAGAAATTGCTATTACGTATATAGTGCCTCTGTGCAAGCATTAGAAACTGTGTTCATATCTCTAGCAGCCATGAAAAATGCAAGGAATGTGTGCAATTGGGAGGATACTGTGCTATGAAGTGTTTCGGAGAGTGACAAAGGAAAGCATTTGATATTTACATATTTACATAGGCCTTTCACATGCATTCACATGGGTGCACACACACATATGTGTGTGTGTATATATAACAGTAATATTAATTATATAAAACAAAGCTAAAGCAAAGTACCATACATGTACTATATATATATATATATATATATAAATTTAAAGATAAAGCATTTCTTATTTAGAATTAAGCTTAATAGTAATTTGTGTGATTTTCTGTATTTTCTTCTGCAGTACATTTAATTATGAAGGTGATATAGTATCAACTCCACATGTATCTGTAATATTATCTGGGTCAGTTATTAGATATATATTGTTATATATACTTATCCTCTGGGATATCATATAGTATTTAAGTGATTTAAAATAAAATTTCTCTGTGCTTGAATAAGAGAATCATTTTCTATGTCCACCAATACATATTTGGTAGCTCATTTGAATATTGGCTTGCAGACAAGAAAGCACCGTAGAACATCTCATTGACATTCAATAGGGACATAGTGTTGACAGAATGTTGCAAGTACTGAAGTGGATGTAGGCCAAGAGAGTACATTAAAAACAGTCTGATAGCTGTCCTAACATTTTAGAAAGCAAGGAATATGATCAAGTTGTTGAGCTGACATCATAAAATCATTGGAAACCAAGATTGAAGTCTGTTTCTGAGATTCCCTTTTTATAACCTTGCTACTGTGATGAAAGGGTACAAGTTTGTATAGAGAGAGCATATGTACTTGTCACCTCTTTGTTCACATGTGATTTTATATCCAGCTCAAGGACAAATGAACAAACTTCCTCTGGAATTGAATTTCTGCAGCACATCATTTATTTGGCCACTTATCTGTATCTTGGTTTATAAACACCACATATTTACAGCAAGCTTTGACACATGTTTTCATACATCATCTTGACAGCATGGTGCCTGTGGATAAGCAGAAGAGTCAGCTTGCTATGCTCACAGGAAGATTCGTCATCTCACTTTCCAGGAAGACCTTCCCCATCAGTCCTTCTTTCACTCACTCGGGGATTTGGAAACTGCCAAGATGTTTTAAAAATTCATACCTCGTTAATGAGCTAAGCTCAAATTCATTATTAAACAATTACTATGCACATATCTTCTTGATGATATGTAGACAAGCCCAATGATCCAGGAAGTGTAGTTCTCATTATAAGTTAATTTATGAACCTTCAAAGAATAATTCCAAGTTCTTATGTCCCTCAAAAGCATACTCTTAGATACTATTTATAAAAATATTCATTTCTATATCCAGAATTTCAGCATGCTTGTTTCATTGAAATTGCTCTTCTAAAGAATTCTGTGATATTTAAATAGCAAAGAATATTCTACTTATATCTGTGTTCTCTACATGTTGTAGTATTATGTTATTAAACTAATTCAGTATGTTTTAATGTAATATATTGTTAAGTAGTTGGTTAAAATTACTCTACACTGTTTTTAAATGTCACACATTTTAAGACCACTCTTCAACCATGTATTATCTGAAAGACAATAGATATATGTATGCATTAAATACCAGTATTGTATGAGTGATCTTACTAAATTATAACTAGGAAACATATAAATTAACAATAAAGTAAAATAAAATTGAAAATCATTTTCATCTAAAATAATTTGGTGGTACAGCATTTTACCAATGATTTCACATGTATGTGTTACAGGACATATTTGCAGGAATATGTGAACATATATGTATTCACCCTGTGAGGGCAACAACTACACACTAAAGATATGGATCTAATTTGATCAAGCAGTGACTTCTTATAATTTTGATCAAAAAAAGGGTGAGGAATACTTAGAGGAACATGACTCAAGCAACTTCATCAAAAAAATACAAACAAACCTGCAATCCACCCAATCATAGGTACTACTCATAAAGCTGAACTTTTTTTATGTTCCTTGCCAACTTGAAGACAGTGCCAAAGAAGAGTCTTAATCCTTTCTTAGCAATTGTTTACTTCCCATTGAAACTCAGAGAAAGATCTACTGAGCATTGTTTATTGGGAGATTTGTAATCCTAATGAGACTTTCCACTTGTTTCAGAAAAGGATATTTTTATTTAGAGAAAATGGCTACATGGCAAGATGCCTTCCCTTTTCCCTAGGAGCATCTATTGTATCAGGAGATAATTTTCTTGACACCAATAATGTTGTATCATAACACACACACACTCACACATACATACAATCTACAATCCTAGTAAAGGGCACTGTGGCAATCTCACCTTATAAAGATGTGGGGATCTTTGGGTTTGAAGGAAAGAGTACTCAGTCATTTTTTGTTAATGGATTCTGAAGAATTTACCAGGAAAAATTTTAAAACGATCTATAAGGAGTAGTTTGAACTAACGCCAGAAAGGTCACAAGGACTGTCACACTAATTCAAGGGGAAAGCGATAATAGTTTTACGCTAAATTAGTAATGGTATGAAATAAAGGAGACAGAGAAAAGCATGAATTCTTTGCACAGGGATAAGGATAAAAGACTGATTAGCTTTATGTCTCCCAACGTTCAAGTGTCTGGAGTTGTCTGGGGGATTTCACAGACAGAACGTTGGGAAGGTGCGGTGAGCCGGGCCATTGTGACCTTGGTTGTCTCCCAGTGGGCTTCCCCGCATCTTTCAATATCAAGGTCAGCTCACTGCGGAAGCACCCAGCTCAGTAGGTCGGTGCCTTGAGTGGAAGCTGATAGAAACATCTGCAAACTCCAAACTACAGTGCTTTCTTCAGTCCTCAAGGCTGGAAAAGTAAGATTATTTAATTAGATCCCATCCACATTTTATAAATAATCGTTCTATTTATAATTATTAGATAAATTGTATACTATAATTATATATATTTTCTCCTTCCATAGCAATAAGAGTAAATTTTAAAAAGTTTTTTTTGTTCTTTTGTTTTTTATTTCTGGGAACATCTTCCAACAAATGGTTTAAGTTAAAAATTTAACTACATTGTTTTTACCCAGTTGGTAGATATAAAGGAGATTTCTTCACCAATCTTATTACCTTTAAAGAGTTGCTTGATGTACATATATTGAAAGTTTGAACTGTTCTAATGCCCATTTTCTATTAACACCACTGTAATAGATTGTCTCTGTCTCAAGGTCATAGTAAAAGGTACTTATTTGGTCTTCATGCTTTAGAGGGAAAAGCCCTAAGTGTGTCAGTTGTGATGGGGTCAAAGCCCAAGGGTTAGGTCTTTAATCTTTCTAATGAATTTTGAATATTCTTTTTTAAATGCAGTGTTATTTCTCTAGGTCAGGCAAGGGACCATTTACTTCAGGAAAATCATATAAAAGAAAGCTAAGAAGAGGTCTTTGTGCAGTCAAGTGGATTTAGAGCTGATCTAAGCATAGAGTATGTAGCTTAAAGTTCACACAATTAACCTGTAATATAAATAAACAAAAAAGAGTCCAAAGTACCCAAGCAAGTTATAGTTTTAAGCACTAGTTTGGAGGGTTTAGTTCTTCATTGTCAACTATGTATGGTTAAGGGAAAAGATGTAAGGATATATGGATTTTCCTGGCTGATAACTTAGCTCTGGTTTCAGTGAAATACCCTGTCTGTACCAGATTTTTTGTTTTGAGCCAAAAACCAGCTCCCAAATCATGACACAGAGTCTTATTAATAGTTTTGAATGCTCTGCCTACCTTAGGCTCATTTGGCAAGCTCTTTTAATTTAAATTAACCTGTTTCTCTTTACTTATTTTTTTGCCTTGGGGCTTATTATCTTTCTCACTGTATATCTTACTTTCACTCCTTCTCTACATCTGCCTGGGTGCTATCTTCTTGCCTACTTGCCCTAGGTGTGTCCTTCCTTCTCTTCTTCTTTTTCTCTCATTCTTCCTTTTTCTCCTGAGTCTAGATTTCTCCTATTTATTCTCTCTGCCGGCCAGCTGATCTGTCTCTTCTCCTGCCAAGCTATTAGCTGTTCAACTCTTGATTAGAACAATCAAGTGCCTCAGAAACACACGGTGAAACAAATTCAACACATCTGTACACAATTAAACGAATAAAATGTGAACAAAAGTGACATATCTTTGCTTAGTTAAAATAATATTCTTCAATGCCTTTCTAAAAAAATAAAATGGAGACTAAGAGAACAAGAAACTTAACTCCTTCCTTTACCCTATGTGATGAAGAACACACTTCAACCAATGGCCTTTAAGAGGCTGGACCAGGTTGGGCATAACTTGGGTACCAAAAAGGTGGGTACCTGCCAATTGCTTTCACTCTCTCTCCTCTCTCTCACCTGGATGTTGGGTTCAGTTCCTGTTCTCAATTTTTACAAAGGCTTGTGATCTGTAAGCTCTTCCTAAATAAAGAACATCTTTATTTTATTCTATTCTGGGCTAGTATGGAATTATTTTATTTGTGTTCACCTTTACCCATGTTTGTGCACACATGTGCGAGCCTGCACACATAGTGCACTTAAACCACACATAGCTTCCACAAATCTTTAATAGTAAAAAAGTTAGGAATCTAAAATGGATGAAAGAAAAAAATAAAATAAAATAAAATAAAATGGATGAAAGACACTTAAAGAAGTGCTCAACATCCTTGATCATCAGAGAAATGCAAATCAAAAAAACTCTGAGATTCCATCTTACACCTGTAAGAATGGCCAAAATGAAAAACACTGATGACAACTTATGCTGGAGTGGCTTGGGGATAAAGGGAACTTGTCTGCATTGATGGTAGGAATGCAAGCTGATACAATCCCTTTGGATGTCAGTGTGGTGATTTCTCAGAAAACTAGGAAACAACTTTCCTCAAGACTCAGTAATACCACTTTTGGGTATATACCCAAAAGATATTCAATCGTGCCACAAGGACATGTGCTCAACTATGTTCATAGCAGCTGTCATAGCCAGAACCTGGAAACAACCTAAATGCCCTTTGACCAAAGAATGGATAAGGAAAATGAGGTACATTTACACAATGGAGTACTACACAGCAGAAAAAATAATGACATCTTGTATTTTGCAGGAAAATGGATGGAGTTAGAAAACATCATTTTGAGTGAGGTAACACAGACTAAGAAAGACAATTATCACATGTACTCACTCATAAATGTCTTTTAAATATAAAGCAAAGAAAAACATCTTACAGTTTACAATCATAAAGAGCCTAGACCACAATGAGGACCCTAACAGAGACATACATAGATCTAATCTACATGGGAAGTAGAAAAAGACAAGATCTCCTAAGTAAATTGGGAGCATGGGGGTCTTGGGAAAGGGTTGAAGGGGAGGGGAGAGGCAGGAATGGGAGCAGAGAAAAATGTAGAGCTCAATAAAAATAAATAAAATAAAATAAAATAAAATAAAAAGAAGGCTAATGTGAAGAAAAAAAGTTTAGGAACACATACACAGACCACACACACACAAACATACACACACACATATAGAGGCACGTAACAATTAATGGAAAAGAGCATGAATTTGAATAAGATCAAAAAGGAATATGTGAAAGAATGGAGGAGAGAGAAGGGAAGTATAAAATTATAATTTAAAATATGAAGAAATTTTATTTTAAAAATATATTATTTATGTACGATACACAATATCTTAGAGAAGAAAGAAATATTTAGGGAGAGCATTCAGTATTATTTATAATTATTCACTTATGGTAATGAATGTATATATAATACATTCATACACATTTACTTCTCTGAATTCCAATAACTATTAGACATTGGATTTTAATGCTTGGCACATAGAAAGATCTCAAGGAGACAATGCTAATATTACAAAGAAGATCATCCATAACACATAGCAGCTACTGGCATCCATGGGCCTCATGTTGTATTTTGCTCACTATTTTCCCCCTTTAGAGTTGCCATATTCACATGCTTATACAGAACTCACCATTCAGGCATTAGAGGTCTTGATAATGTTATGGTCTTTGTTTGTTGCTCTTATTGCTGCAATCCAAGAGAATACATTATCATAGAAGGTCTAGATTTCTCCTCCACAGTCAGTTTATGGGTCATAAAGAGGTGAGCATAGAGTGAACAGAAATGAAACTGCTGCTTAGTAAACAAAGGCAGTGCATTTTCACACCTGCTCTTCAAAGGTAGTGTTTGGTATTGCACTGAAAAGTGGCTGATGATTTAGTAAGGGAGAGTCCTGCATTCAGAAACATCTAGAGAGTTATGTTTTATCTTACAAAAGTCACAGAGCACTAGACCAAGGCTTACTTAAGCTTCCCAATTTATAATTTTGTAAGCATTTAACTTGCCTGTTGCATACTAGAGTTAACCTTTTCTATTTATAATGTTTCAAAGATTTTTATCTCAAGAAAAGGATATTTATTTCAGGATTCAGAGTTTCAAACGGACAGATAATATTTTGAAGGATAAATAAATGTTGTTTTGCTAAAGCATCCAGTGTGTGATGCACTAATAGTAGAATAGGAGGCACGGGCATACAGTTACATGTACTTACACGTAGTTACATGGTAGAGTGACACTAAGATGTGTAAATAACCACAATAATATAGAAGAAGCATTAAAGTGTCCTAGTTTTATAGACTTATAAAATTAATATTCTTAAAAATGTAGAGATATATTATATAATAATATTTTTTTAAAAAATCTTTAATATTTTATAATCACTTTATTGCTAATTATCATGTTTTCTTTATGTTACTTTCTTAGAATCCCAAGTTAGCATTAAATGTAAGGGAAGATATTTTTATCTAAGGGGCAGAAATTAACTGGATTTCTGTTCATTTCCAAGATGTGCTGGAACCTTGTTCTGGTCTCTGTGTTTTACTTTCTCTTCATCTTTTTTGTCTCTTCATTTATTTTTTAATTTCACTTTTCTTTGATCACCTCTTATGTCCCAGCAACCAATGTGGTATGTGTTTTCTCCATTAGATTAGGCCAGCCTAGACGTTCTCACAGTAGATGACACATCACTTGAAGAAAGTGAATGACTGTTTCCAATCTCGCCCAAAATTGGCTGTTACTGCAGTTGGTGGATCCAGGAGAGTGTGAAGACTTAGATTCTGTCTGATGAAAGAATGGGAGCATCAGTCTACTTAATGTTGTACAAAACTATTTTGGACTGTACACTTCTTAATTATTTGAACATATTTGAGCTCAAGAAAAACCTAAAGCATGTTTTTCTCTACATATTTTATGCATTAATTAGTGTTAATTAAATTTGAAGAAGCAAAGACTAAATGTGCTAAAATTAAAACCATAAAAATCTGAATGTATCATATGCTTTATAAATACACACAAGCATACATATATACACACAATAAATAGATAGATATTTAGCAGATAAATAGATAAATGATAGATAGATAGATAGATAGATAGATAGATAGATAGATAGATGGATGATTGAAGGGCTGGCAAAAGCCTTTACTTAAGTCAAATCTTTACTGTCAGACATTTATCTTCATAGTTTGCTGACCTATTTATTATGCCTATATGTCACTTCTAAACATATAGTGTAACATGTACCTCCTTGTTATTAATGAAAAGTTTTTGCTATTAGGCTCTACGTTTTGAAACTTATGGTTATAATAGTAATCACTATGTTTGAACAGTTTCATATGTGTGTGTAGTACATTCTGGTCACACTCACCGCATCCTCCTCTCATCTCAGCAGCCTTTCTTCCTCCCAGCAAGCTCCCTCCCTCACTTGTACTTCTGTTTTGTTATTGTTGTTTGGGATGCACTTAATTTAACCAGGGTCAAACCTTTGACATGAATGTGGAGCTCCCTGTTG